TCAAATTTATCTTTCCTCCTATCCAGAACACCATGAAGCGAGGGAAGCAGATTCTGAGTGAGAAGAGCTTTGGCACAGCGGGGATCCAGGAGCGCATCATGGAGGTTAAAGGCGAGTGGAAGAGGCTGGAGGACCAGGCTGCGCAGCATCTCAGCCACCTGCAGGAGGCGCTCAACTTCTTCCAGTTCTCCACGGAGACGGACGACGTCGTGGCCTGGCTGCAGGACGCTTACCGCCTGGTGTCCAGTGAAGACTTTGGACACGATGAGTACTCCACTCAATCGCTGCTAAAGAAACACAGAGGGGTCAGTGAAGCCATTGACAAACATCGTTTGCATGTAGTGGCACTGCGCAAACACATGGTGGCGCTGCCCCTGCGGTACCGTGAACAGGAGGTGGGTACGGGCGCAACAATCAAACAAAAAAAGGATGTTTCACTTCCCATGTCTTTATTATTTAATAAACTTTTCGTCCGACCATCTCGTCCCATCTCCTCTTCCATCCTCCTCTCTGCAGGAGGTGCAGGTTCGTATGGGAGAGGTGGAGCAGCTGTACACAGAGGTTGCTGAAATCGCAGTGCTCAGACAGCAGTGGCTTCACGACGCCCTCGCTGTGTACCGCATGTTCAGCGAGGTCAACGCCTGCGAGCTGTGGATTGACGAGAAGGAGCAGTGGCTGGAAAGGATGGAGATCCCAGAAAAACTGGAGGATGTGGAGGTCGTGGCACACAGGTGAGGAGGAGGGGAAGGAGGACAGAATGGCTGAAGGCAGTTGGTTTTACCATCTCAGGCCTACCAAAGCTTAGCTGGGTGGTCAGTGTCTGTCGTGTTGTCTAAACTGTTACCAAGAATTGGCTGAGTCCAACTTTTGCAGTTCAAAACTACAACCCTCACGTTGCAGATTTGAGAGCCTGGACCAGGAGATGAACAGCCTGATGGGAAGGATCCTGGATGTTAATGAGATAGTTCAGCAGCTCCTGGATGGAGGTCATCCATCTTCTACAGAGGTCAGAGGTTGTCAGGACCACCTCAACTCTAGGTACTGAAACAAAAGCAACAATCGAAGTGATAACAGTAATTACAAATTATGTTT